ATTTTCACTATGGAGTGTTTTTCTTAGGTCCAATAATTTGAAATGTCCTTTTTGCTTTTGTTATTAAAATAATACTGATAAAAATTATCATGATCAATTTGAAAAAGCCTGTAGACAATGCCTTTAAAAGTTTGTGTGGTGTAGTTTGTGTGGTCTAGGGCCTGCTATCCAGGTTATCGATCAAAATGTATTTGGGTTTTAATTCTCTTGTCAAATAAACTGAATATTAATACATACATAAAATAAAATACCAATGTGTAGATTTAAACTGTTATCCTTTTAATCGGAAACGAACAATAAACACTCTTTGAAAGAATATAAATTGTATGTAAGAAATCCTGATCAGATACTCACCGTTCGATTTGCGTTTTAAGCAAGGAACAATTTGCGGCACAATTATATTGATATATTATCATATAAAAACGTTGATAATTATGGAATTTCCAAAGCTCGAATCGAATAATTCATATTATTACAAGAGAACAAATAATTGATCATCTGCCATCTTGTCAACATCGCTTATGGTCTGTAACAATATGGAAGCAATATTTGTGATCATCAGTCGAGTTTGGAAAGTGTGAAAGACGTCACTGAAGCGTGTAGTGTCGTCTTTAGATGATGGAGAAGTGCGCCATCTGTCTTTGAGTTTCGCGATACTCTTTATTCGGTAACTAATTGGTTTTAAAGTTTCATGAGATAAAAGTTAATGAACTTTGAATGCTGTCAGATCGGGGGTCATTGGAGATGGTCACGATAACCCAAAAACAATGACAACTGAAGCTAAGTTGAACTTCAATTTTGCTAAATAAATAACAGCCCGAAACACAAGAGCTTAAAAAAATGCTTGATTTTGCTGTGTTAAAATGTGCTCAAAAATATTATTATGTAGCCACAGACCTATATATATATATTCTAGCTAGACTGGAAAACGGAAACAAATTTTTATCCGCGATTGATCAACTCACAGACCTATATAAATTATAAATATAGATTGCTATGTTTTAGTCACTGAACTAAATATTCATGCAAATATGCAAACAAAACCATTTCCTGTTAGTTTCCATTAAGCTAATGTTTCGAAATCCTAGATCGAAATAATTCACGTCTATTGATTTTAGTAATCTTGTGTACATTTAAATAGATTGATTTTGTTTTTATGTATCTAAAAATTGCATAATAATAATTATGAGGTGAAAGTGCTCTTATTTTCGATTATTAATTACTAGATCTAGAGCTAAGCATTAAGTTATATGTTACATAGGTTAGGATTGAAAAAAATAACTTTACTTTTTATAATTACTTTACAAGACAACGCATTGTTTAATATTTTTAAAAGGTTTGTTCATAACATTTTTTTTTGTAGTGTTAAAAGATCTCCATGTCCAGTCTAAATATAATATTTATAGGTCTGTGTATGCAGCTTACTAAAGACAAAGCTTTTTTTAACACTTCCATTATTTTGTACACCGGATACACCAAAAAAGCTTGCTATTTATAGGTTTTCCGACATTTATGAAAGTCTTTAATAGAAATGTAAAAAAAAAAAAATGTGCCCAATATGAAATTGTAATTTTTAAGACTAAAATGTGAAAGACGGTAGACGGCTAGACAGACCAAAGAAAACTAAGAGCTTTACCCCGAACTGTACAAAAAAAAATATTTTGTATTTTGGGTTACAATTGGGAGTCATGGTTTTGTCTTCGATTTCTAAGCTTAAGGATTACTATAGCAATTCTTATAACTAAGCTATTCATTATTTTGATACTTCTGATGCAGACAAAGGGAGTCGGGGGTCTTTTAAGTTTTTTTTTTCTCTTGCCTCGTGTGTCCCTCATTCTTCCAGATGGTCTTAATCTTTCTTCCAGATGGTCTCAATCTTTCTTCCAGATGGTCTTAATCATTGTTCCTGATGGTCTCAATCATTCTTCCAGATGGTCTCAATCATTCTTCGAAATGGTCTCAATCATTCTTCCAGATGGTCTTAATCTTTCTTCCTGATGGTCTCAATCATTCTTCCAGATGGTCTCAATCATTCTTCCAGATGGACTCAATCATTCTTCGAAATGGTCTCAATCATTCTTTCAGATGGTCTCAATCATTCTTCGAAATGGTCTCAATCATTCTTCCAGATGGTCTCAATCATTCTTAGAAATGGTCTCAATCATTAATCCAGATGGTATCAATCATTCTTCCAGATGGTCTCAATCATTCTTCCAGATGGTCTCAATCTTTCTTCCAGATGGTCTTAATCATTCTTCTAGATGGTCTTAATCATTTTTCAAGATGGTCTCAATCATTCTTCCAGATGGTATCAATCATTCTTCTAGATGGTCTCAATCATTTTTCCAGGTGGTCTCAATCATTCTTACAGGCGGTCTCAATCATTCTTCCAGGTGGTCTCAATCATTCTGCCAGGTGGTCTCAATCATTCTTACAGGTGGTCTAAATCATTCTTACAGGTGGTCTGAGTCATTCGTACAGGTGGTCTCAATCATTCTTCCAGATGGTCTCAATCATTCTTCCAGATAGTCTCAATCATTGTTCCAGATAGTCTCAATCATTCTTTCATTTTTTCTCACCTCTCTCTTCTCTCCACAGTTTTCATTCGCACCTCTCTCCCTACTGCTTCTGTTCTTGTTTTTCTATTTCATTACTCACTCTTTCTCTCTCATTATCTCTCTCACTCTCTCTCTTTCTCTCTCTCTCTCTCATCTCTCTCTCTCATTCTCTCTCTCATTATCTCTCTCTCATTATCTCTCTCTTTCATCTCTCTCTCTCTCTCATATTCTCTCTCTCTCATTATTTCTCTCTCTCTCTTACTTTCTCTTTAACACACTCTTTATCTTATGCTTTCTTTACAATCTCTTAACTCTAGTGAAGGATGATGGTACCTGTGTAATGTTAACATTTACCCTTAAACTAAAACCAAAGAGACAGTCTATGATTAGCGCTGCATAGGGGAGACAACATTGAATTAAGATTTTCAAGATGAACTATTTACTATTATAGCAACACCAACAACAACTACAATAGTAAAAGAAGACAAGACAGTTTTTATAAGTTACATTAATACTCGCTAATTTAGAAAACAATTAAAGGCAAAACAATTTGATATTTGCCTCTCTAAAGAACAAAAAGTCTCGAGCTAAAGTAAGAAACACGCACGCACGCACGCACTCGCAAAGGGACACACTTTATCAATCTCACCATCTCTCGCGAGATTCTTCTAATTGCATTTTTGCTTTGCTCTGATGCCCAGGTCAAGACATATTAAGAGCAATATCCTTGGCGGCATATTGAACACAAGTACCACTGTGTCAGTGAATGTGTCGGGAAGGGTGTGTCGGGAAGGGTGAGGTGGGAAGGAAGCGTGCGTGTGTGTGTGTGTCTTAGGGAGGCTAGAAGTGCTGTGTCAGGGTGGACAAGGCCGAGTCACGTGACTGCACCATCACGTGACTGTTTTCAACATTGTCATAGCACACCCATTTTCTCTCATTCTTGACATGCCTCGACTCAGAATTTTAAAGAATGATCGAATGACATCTGCAATGATCTGATATTACAAAGTGTGACATCTGCAATGACATGACATTACAACGTGTGACATCTGCAATGATATGAAATTACAAAATGTGACATCTGCAATATGACATTACAAAGAGTGGCATCTGCAATGACATGACATTACAAAGAGTGGCATCTGAAATAACATGACATTAAAAAGAGTGGCATCTGCAAAGACATGACATTACTCGGAGTTACATCTGCAGTATGGCATTGCAAAGAGTGAAATCTGCAATGACAACATTCCAAAGAGTAATATCCCCAAAGACACGACAATTCACACAGTGACATCTGCAATGACATAGCATTCCAAAGAGTGACATCTGCAAAGATTTGACAGTCAAAATAGTGACATCTGCGCTTGAATTACGCTTGAACTTGGCTTGGCTTGGCTACCTATGAAAGGGGCTTGAGGTTCGACACCCGACTGGGCAGAGTTGTGTTTACTGAGCACCTAAAGGCAGCACTGAAAACCTTCTCCCAGATAATGCCTCCCTCCCCCCACTGGTCCACAACTGAGATTGGACCATAGCGCTCTGTGCATGCTATAAGCATGAAAGTAGCCACATATAAAAGCTATTATTATTATTATTATCTGCAATGAGCCGCATGCCACACAGGTTAATGACAACAGAAATTGAGATTAGGATGTCATAAGAGGATATACACAGATGACATGACCTTACAGTACCTATACCTGAGGCAGTTGATAACGCAAACAATTCTAACACTTCAGGAATCCCTTTCTCTTGGTTACTTCCCTTTCTTATCTTTACTTTTCCAGTCGCGATCAGAAATTGCAGGTTTCGATATCTTGCAAAAAGCCGCTGCTGAAAAGTAGAGAATTTGGTTACGCGAACTGTCATGGCACCCTTACGACGGATTTAAGAGTAGGAGTGTCTTTTCGGAACATTTTCTTAGATAAAAGTATGCTCATGTCGCGAATGTATACATTAATATATTGTTTAAATAAGGGAAAGAACTGCACATTTACAGCTTGATCTAAATGCTGTAAAATGTATTTCCCCTTTTCTATATCAAACAATATTAATTAATTATTATTATTATAGTTTTTATATAGTGCTACTTTCATGCTTAGAGCATGCTCAGAGCACTTGGGTTTAATCTCATTTGTGAACCAGTTGGGGGGGGGGGGAGGGGGTATCTAGGAGTTGGTTTTCCGTGCTGCCTTTAGGCGCTCAATTACCGCTAATTAATTAATTAAATAGTTAATTTTTCTATTAGTTCATGTTTTGCCAGGGACAATGAATACTTGTAGAAAGTTTTAACTTGATCCGAGAATGGGAAGTGGGAGAATTGATGTGTACAAAATTTGTACCAGACGGACATACAGACAGACGGATTGAGTGGATATAAGTTTTGTAATGATTAAAATTCACTAGATTAAACGAAAATGAATACATGAGTAATTACATCTAAAACAGGTAAAAATATCTGTTTATTGTTTTTTTTAAATTAAGAATACAAGACGTTGACTATCAAACATTACTTTCCAAGTAGGCTTAAAAGCCCACCTTGTGACGACGACCCTAAATTTGAACCCAGAAGATTATTCGTTGCTGCAGTTTGAGTTCCCGTGTTGGTCGTTGCCGTGAGGCCGCCTGTCAGGCCTCCAGTGAGTCCGCCCAAGAGTCCACCACTGGACGTTGCAGCTGTGCCGGTGTTGGTCGAAGTCTGTCCACTAAGCAATGTTTCAAGCAATGCGGAGGTTTGAGCGTTGGTGAGAGAGCCAGTCGCACCGCTTCCTAACAGACCAGACAATGCCCCTGCTACCGTGTTGACCACGTTTCCGGTGCTGCCCCCGGTGCCCCCACCACCCAAAAGACCTGTTGCGGTGTTCAATAGGTCCCCAGCTGTTCCCGTCGCGGTGTTCACAACGCTTCCAACAGGGTTACCATTTAACAGGTTTCCAAGCGTTCCAGTCACTGTGTTGACAACGTTACCGGTGCTGCTTCCGGTCGCCCCACCACCCAACAGACCTGTTGCTGTGTTCAGTAGGTTCCCAGCTGTTCCAGTCACTGTGTTGACAACGTTCCCGGTGCCGCTTCCGGTCGCCCCACCATTCAACAGACCTGTTGCTGTGTTCAGTAGGTTCCCAGCTGTTCCAGTCACTGTGTTGACAACGTTACCGGTGCTGCTTCCGGTCGCCCCACCACCCAACAGTTCTATAACTGTGTTCAATAGGTTCCCAGTTGTTCCTGTTGCGGTGTTGAAGACACCGCCTACTGGGTTACTGTTCAACACGCTCCCCAAAACATTAAGCGCCCCGTTCGTGTTTCCCCCTGTAAGATCGTTTAACACATTTCCCGTTAATCCCGTGATACCATTCAACAAGTTCCCGCTGGAGCCTCCGCTGAGCGCCCCCAGCATGGAATTCACCAGATTTCCAGCACCACCAACGGCATCAGCGGTGCAGTTAGTTCCGTTCTTTTTTGTGATTGTAGGGATCTGAACATTGGTCAATGGAACTGGAGCTGGGGTGGCAACATTCGGGCAACCTAAACAAGACAAAATAATTACAATTATTGTCTTAACAGTCATAAAAAAACAAAACAGCGGCAAGTAACTACAAAAGTCGATAAATGTCGCCATGTTTTGTAGTTACGTGCCCTAATGATGAAGTCAATTCTTTGGATCACTGACACAAGTTCCGATTCAACATCTAGGGAAAGTCATGTGATCATTGATATGTTTTATGATGATACTTGTATGCGTAATACTCTCGTACAAAGGTCGCGGCCGAAGAAAGGTGCAGATGGCGAAGACAGAATTAAAATAGACCCATGGTGAACAACGGCTGTGTCTGTATCAGTATTGGCAAATTATGCAGGTCGCAACTGGGTCTGCGTAGTCACGTAAAATACTACACTCATCCCTCAACTTCAGACTGTTATGTGTTAAAATCAATTTACAACATGAAAATCTAAAACAGCTTTTTAAAAAATAAAGCAAAGATTTTATTAAGTGTAGTTGTATCAGTGATGTAATTATGTTTGTAATTGATCTAGCCTAACATTAATAAAATAGTTCAATTAGAAAAATATTTACCTATTGTTTTTGTTAAGCGCAGTTTTATGCTATCTGTGTGAATGTTACCGTGATCGCTTTTAAGTGCATTTATAAAAAAAAAAGTGGAAAAGTTGAATTCGAACCCTCCTCAAGCCTATAAATGGATGTTCTATTTGTGGACCGGATTGTGTAGAAATACCCGGGCCGATTTTATTATTATTTTAACACCCAGTACGCCCCTGCTTTTTAACAGAAATGAACATTGAGTGATTAAACACATTCACTGCTATTTAACATTGACATTTGTATTTATTATCCTTAATTATTGTACGAAATTACTATCAGCTTACTAGACACTTTTCATACTAGGTTTTGGGTAGAAGTCTTGCTATAAACTTGACGTCAAGCAGTGTTCTCGACAAAAGATGTCATTAAAGGTTTCGTTATGCACATCTTATATAACAAGGTCAAGATGGTTGATATATATATTGTTTAGTTTTATGTAGTGAAAGAGAAAGTGTTGTATAGTGAAAGAGAAAGTGTTGTGTAGTGAAAGAGAAAGTGTTATGTAGTGAAAGAGAAAGTGTTATGTAGTGAAAGAGAAAGTGTTATGTAGTGAAAGGGAAAGTGTTGTATAGTGAAAGAGAAAGTGTTGTGTAGTGAAAGAGAAAGTGTTGTGTAGTAAAAGAGAAAGTATTATGTAGTTTATGTAGTGAAAGAGAAAGTGTTTTGTAGTGAAAGAGAAAGTGTTGTGTAGTGAAAGAGAAAGTGTTGTGTAGTGAAAGAGAAAGTGAGGTAGACAGTGCAAAACGAACAGAGAGCAAAGAGTGTGTCACAGTGAGTGTGTGAAAGCTCAACCTTTTAGTATCTGAGAGAGTGAGAGAGAGAGACAGAGAGAGAGAGTGAGAGAAAGACACACACACAGAGTGAGAGAGAGTGAGAGAGAGAGAGACAGAGAGAGAGTGAGAGAGAGAGACAGAGATAGAGAGAGAGTGAGAGAGAGAGACAGAGAGAGAGAGAGTGAGAGAGAGAGACAGAGATAGAGAGAGAGTGAGAGAGAGAGAGACAGAGAGAGAGTGAGAGAGAGAGACAGAGATAGAGAGAGAGTGAGAGAGAGACAGAGATAGAGAGAGAGAGACAGAGATAGAGAGAGAGTGAGAGAGAGAGAGACAGAGATAGAGAGAGAGTGAGAGTGAGAGAGAGAGAGAGAGAGAAAGAAAGAGACGAGAGAGAACTTGTACAAAGCATGAAATGACACAGCACGCCATTAGGGTAAACCGCAATCTGTCAACTAATCTATTAGCAGAGGAAGCCTTCAAGGTTAATTTGAGAAACAATACCCTAATCAATAAACTTGTTTTCCATTGTTCGTTTATATTATACACTCATGTAATGATGTTATAAAAATTTATAAATAAGTATTTTTAATTAAGGATGTAATAATGTAGGGGGAACTAAGCCAGTCTGTTCCAATTCAGGCTTTAAATAAAAGTTATATTTGGGATTGTTGTTCTTGATTTTTTTTATCTTTCGTTTACAAATATAACTTTCACGTTTGAAACTCTCTAGAGCTCATAGACAATTTTAGGACAAGCATATATGAGTTACCATGTTACTCTAGTAAAATAATTGTATACTGTCGTGGAGGTTCCTTGTGGTACCGTCGTCAAATATTGACAGAGCCTTTTAGCTAGCGCTAAATGAAGACATTTTTCTTAGTAATCGTAATTCTTGTTGCCATTTTTGCAATCCTTTTATTGAAGTCGCACATTCAGAGCGGGCAAAAACCTCAGCGTGGATATAGTTCTTGAAAACGGCTCTAACGATGTTCCGAGACATTTGGCAGTTGCTGTATATCGTTGGGAAAAGAATTACTCGCTTATAGTAACTTTTGACCGTTATAATTTTTCAAAATATAAACAGAAATTAATTTGAGTATGGCTTGGGAACTAGGATTTGTTTAAAATCTTCAACAGACTCCTAGTATTTCCGCCTGTAGGCATTATTCATTTAAGAGTTTAATATTTGTACATCTTCTTCTAAGTCTAGGTCGAAATGGCCATCATTTGAATGTTATAAAATCGAGTATACATTCGCTCAACAAAGTTTTTTCCCGGGGGAGGGGGTGGGAACATGACGGGGTAAAAAATGTTCTTTTAATAAAAAAACCTCACATACATTAATGATTAAGAGTAAAATAATCGTTCTATTGTTGTATAAAGGAGATATTGACTTCTTAAATATTATCGTTTGTGTTTTTCTTATTTTCGTTTTATTTCCGTTTTTTCCCTTGCTTTCTGCCCAGTCGTGATCAGAGAAACATGCCTTCTTGGAGCAACACTAGAGAATGCTGACCATGTCCTTCCAATACTTTTTCAAGAGATCCAAACAACATATTGGTCCCAGAAAATCACCTAAAGATAAACACTGTTTATGCTTGATCTGGAAACCGCTGTGCAGTTCATCTTAGACTTAGGATCTTTCAGTATAATGGTGAGAACTTGGAACTAGAAGAAAGTTCCAGCAATGTCTATGATTTATTTTTGATACGGGGGTTTTACTTTAGTATTGTCTCGTCGAAATAATTCTCACCTTCGTCACTATATGCTGTCATGATACCGGTAGATAAATACGTTAACGGTACTCCCCGTACAGTAGGTAAAATTTTTTCGCTAACACAAAGACAGGTTTTATAATTAGGATTTCATTTACCATTTTTGATAACTTATATATCAACTCTTTCTGTTTGTCTTGTACACTTTTTGTACACATTATTTCTCGCACACCCATTTTTCGGATCCAACCCCCCCCCTCCCCAAAAAAAATTGTTGTACCTTACAGAACATGAATCAATTTAAAAAAAATGATTGAATTAACTATAGATATCTAATTATTTTTTAGGCATCGAAAAAGGGAAATAAATGTTAAGTATTAAGAGACACGTTTGAATGTGTGGAGTTATTTTCCTGATTAAGTGTTGTACACGTTTTTTTTCACTTCCCGTTCTCAGATTAAGTTAAATAGTAGCACAATTATTCATATTCGACGACAATACATGAATCAATTAAAAAATAATAAGTTAATAATAAATGTTTTTTTTTAATATAGAAAATGGAGTTTATCCATGAAGTATTGAGCTATATGGAAGTGATTTTGCGGTTCTTCCCCTTAGATAAGCTTCTTTTTTTTAAAAATAACATTTCTTCAATATTTTGTTTAGTACATATGTAAAAAAAAAATGACGTTACGTATTCAGTTATCAAAGCGTTAACTAGATTTGTTTGGTTCTATGCATTCAGACTTCGAGTCTAAGAGTAGCCACATGTATATATGTAGTTTATATTTTGTATTTTGTTATGTTCACTGTGAGAATTTTACTATGCTATAGAGTTCTTGTAAACTTACTACTGGTCTGTTGATTGTTCGTTTTTTGTCAGATTAAAAATATTGTTATATATAGAATATTTATTGTTAACTATGTACTATATGCTGTTTTTTTTGTAGCTGTGTTCTTTGTTCTATTTTAAGCTGTATTCTTAAAGCTTATATTGTAGCTTTGTTCTTTGTACTGTAAACGTTGTTAAATCTGTGTACTGTGTAGTGTATCTTTGTTCTTTGTGCTGAGTATCGATCTGTATTATTTGATCAGTGTATTGTAGCTGTGCTCTTTAAGCTGTGTATTGTAGCCGTGTTTCTTACGCTGTGTTTTGTAGCTTTGTTCTTTGAACAGTTTAATGTGGCGGCAGTCTTTAAGCTGTGTCTTTTAAGCGTCGTTAAAGCTGTGTGTAGCTGTCCTCCTTAAACTGTGCATTGCAGCTGTGTCCTCTCAGCTGTGTATTGTAGCATTGCTTTTTGAACTTTGTATTGTAGTTGTGCTCTTTAAGTTATGAATAGTAGCTTTGTACTTTGAACTATGCATTGTAACTGTGT